GCTCCCGAAAACGCCAACGAAAAATTGTATTCATACATACATATCATATACACACATCCATTTTTATTAAGGGGGTATTCTACTTTAGAGTCATGAATTTCGCCCGGTTTTTGAAGCGCTGTATAAAGGGAACAAATAATATTTTTACTATCGATTTTTTTTATCATTTGTTTATTGATATTTTATTATTACATCAAAAAATTATTAAAAAAAAAATAAAATTCACAAAGTTATGAGCAGTCAAAGTGGAGGTTCCCAAAAAAAGAGGGTGTCCTGGCGTACATGATTCCAACCCTCCTGGTGATTTGAAACATAAAAAATAGATGGATTCTTAATTATAATAGATGCCGCTATCGTATGAACCTTGGATAAGTAAAAAAAATTGTTTTTGTTCGAATGGCGGCAGTTTGAAAAAAAAAATATTTTTTTTCATGTTTTTTTGGCAATTCCGTATTTTTTAAAAATACTAAATGAAAAGTTATAGTTTTGGGCAAGGTCCATACGATAAAGCGATGTATAGAGAAGATCCTCTCCAAATTTGAAGTAAATCGGTTCATTAGAACTCGAGATATCCTTACCGCCAGCTCGAAAAAAGTAGTTCCGACAAAAACGCGATCAAAGTTTTGAGACAAGTCGGACCCGAACCGAAACCACGTCACTAAAACGGCTATAACTCAGGAAATAATAGTAATTTTGAAAAATCCTTTTAATGTCATATTTCTGAATAACTAAACTTTGAAAATATGGAAAAAAATTTTTTTCGATTTTTTCAAAATTCTACAGTAGAATACCCCCTTAAGATATGCTAACATAATTCAGAAACGTAAAAATGTGCAAAAAATCATTTTCATGATTTGGACGATTACTATAACTTACCCTACAGAAAGTTAATAAGTAATGTGATACATATGGCACAAGACTGATATCGATTTTGCAAGTGCAATATAGAAATTGAACAATAACTCTGGTATAGTAAAATTCATTTAATCTGCACGAATAGAATTTACAACCTAAAATACACCATACGAAATACATAAGTACCGTGAAGTTTGTTCAAGTTCGTAGTTTACTGTCATAGTATATTATCCAGCAGCTTGTTCTCGAAACACTAACAAATTATATCATATAAATTAATTTTACCAAGCATAATAAATCAACATGGTGGCATTATTAATTCGTCTTTTTAATATTTCTCTTAATTAACTACAGCTCACTGTGGAAAATACTCATTGTGCACGGTAAAACTCCGTAACACAAAAGGCGAAAGACCGGAGCGGCGATAGAATGGGTTCGCTTCGCTCTCGCCTCGCGGAAACTTCTTGTTCGAATGAACGAATTAAGTTAAAGTAATAGTATGATTAAACCATATTAAATGCTATCAGCAATTCGTTATGTCGTTATGGTTCTCTTCGTGTGCATTTTAAGTTTATTCAGAAATGAATAGAATATTTCTGCATTTAAGATATTTCAAGAAAAAATAATGAATATTTTTTTTACACTAGAGAGTTATGAATTTCACGCAGTACATATTTAAGGAATTTCTTGCCATTTTCAATTAACACGTTGATCTCTATGTCAGTCATATGTGCCTAACGCTAAGATGTTCTACTTGAGTCGTATCGAATATATATGTCGAACTTACGTAATTTGGTAAGAAGCCACGCCAATTACAGATGTCCGACGCAAACTATACATTTGCAATATGTTTCGAACGCTTGGCCTATCAGGAACAAAACTTGGAAATGTCTTGGCTAACATATTAGACTGACAATGCTTGTTGAAAAAAAATTATAGAAGGGCTATGTCTAGGGCTTACAATACCGGGATTCCGTGATCCCGAATACCGGGATCCCGGACGATTTTTGTCCGGTATTCAATACCGGTATTGATACCAAAAATACCGGTATTTCGGGATTAGCAGTATTTTGTTGAAAAATGAACTTACGCAACACACATTCACAAGTTTCACACTGTGTATGTGCATTACACATATTATTGAGTATGACACATCGGCAAGATAAAGCGAATGTTTATATATTATATTAGGACCAAATGAATGAAACCCATTTATAAAAATTATTAGTCGTCCACGTGCATTGTCCTCATATTTAATTCGTTATCAATGATTTTTAAATAAAATATACAATCGACACGTTATAATTCTCTATATTGAATATCTATATCCTATCAATCATTCGTATTTATTTATTATTTCATGATAACGAAAATTTACAAGTCAAATTATTGGTCTTAGCGGAGGATGACCTCTTATGCGTACGTCGTAGATCCTTAGAAATCGTTCATATAGAATTATTTTATTTATTTATTAGATAATCAGAAAATACAATAAATTTCTATAAGTCTATGTGATGTGCTGATATCTAATGATGATTTTATTATAACATAAATACACTATACTAACTCTTGCAAGTACTAACTCATATCCACCTATAATGTACTCGGATTATTTCTTTATGACAATTGTGCCGACAAATGTAGAATGAGAACAAAAGTTTTCAGCTTGTTATATCTGTACTAAAATTCGGTCGCCGCTTGAAGATAAAACAATTGATTCTTTATATTTTTTAAAAGCATATTTTAATAAACAAAATATAAGCTAATAATTGAATTTGTTTTTTTTTTCTTTAAAAATATAACTCCATACGAGCCTATTAAATGTAAAATGTAACATACAAGTTAATATATGATTGTTTATTTGCACGTTTTTTTTGTATATATCTACTCCTATTCTCTATGTAATGAAATAATTAGAACAATAATAATGTTAACAATTTTAGAACAATAATAATGTTAATATGTCAATATAACAACTGCGGTAAATAAAAATATGACTAGTAAATTTTTCATTCATAATACCGGGATCCCGGTATTAAAAATTTCAAATATCGAATACCGGTATTCAGATTTTAGTACGGTATTGGAAGCCCTAGCTATGTCAGTCATATATGTGTAACATAAAAAACAGTGTTTTTCCAGGAATTTTGGCAAAACTTTTTTTGACACATTGTTTACTAAATTAATCTAAAAGTTACCATGTTAAAACTATGTTTCGAAAGACTTCAAAAACTGAAACACTATATTATTGTTATTCAAAACCAGAGTGAGACACAGAGATCTAATTTGAGAAAATAACTTTGAGAAATCATATTGTGAAAACTAAGCCAATTAAATCACAAAAAATAACACATATAAGCTAATTCATCATTGTACATTGTGCCTTTTTACTATTTGTCGAAAATTTGTCATCTGCCCCTTTTCATCCCATAGGCGGGGTAAAATGGGACGGCCAGGGGGCAAACAGGAATGATGCCTTATTTTTAATTTTAAATGGATTTCACAAAATAATAGCTAAATTATTTAACTCATGCGAAATATAAATTTTACATGATATATTACTGTATATTATTTTGATCTGGTATTTCATCCGAAATATTCATCAGTGGAGTTGAAAGAACTACTTATGTAATTCACCTCTTATAAAATTGTTCACTCTTTTATATACTATTTTTTATTGTTTACAACTTTGTCAGGCTTAAGGTTTAATGAATCCTTCTTACCGCATCCACGTGTAAGCTTTTATAGAGATTATATAATAAAACTGTTGAGCATCGTAAGAATCAAATGGCTGGTTATACATCTTTTTCCCTCTACTTCCAAATATTGTTAAAATATTCTTAACTTTACTTGTTTTTGAGATATTGCTAGGTATCTCTACCCGACTATTAAAAATATTTTTGCAAATAATAGTCAATTGTGAAACAACTTCTTATAAACTATTGTGATGTTTTGGATTAACTACTGTATAGATGGCAACCCAAACAGTTAACCCATCTCTATTTGAGGAATTTTATTATTACAATTTTCGATAAGAACACACTTATCGTTTTTTGATGATTGTTTTACATAGATATTATGTTACAATTCGAGTTTGATAAATAAAATAAAAACAGGCTAAATGTAAAAAAAAATAGTTCAAAAACTGCAAATAATTAAAATGTATTTTATCGTCGCGCAAAATTAATCAAAGCGAGTCTCCTTAACGAATTTTATTATTGATGGCGTTTAAATATTTGAAATCGTCCAGACGGTTTAAAGAAAATGTCGACAAAAAGTATGTGGTTGACCACATACCTTTCCAAATTTTGATCTCAAACGATTCAGAACGGGTTGAATTGTAGAAAAAATTTAAAAATAAACTTTTGTATTATGTTAATAATAAATGATTTTCATCAAGCATATTGAATAAATCTCATTTAAGTTCTAAATCTATTCAATCCTAAATCATGTAATAACTATATAATTGTTTGCAAACTCTCCAAATTTAGTACAAAATAAATTATTCATATTTTAGAAAACACATAACTAGAATACTTAATTTTGTTATACTTCTGTATATGGCATGGCTATTACTTTAAATTCAATTACAAAGTTATGAATTTCGTGTTTTGTTGTTTTATTACCTCATAAACGTTCAACTATCAAATGACTTGAATTCGTTACTATTATTATTATTTTCCGGCATACAGATTTTGTTGCAATAAAGCAAGAAAGTAAGATATAAACCCATAATTACCTACTTCACTAGATATAGTACTTACGACAAACAATTATGAAATAGCAAATCATCATTAAATTAATTACAGTTCTTTTTGGCAATTAATCGATTTTAATGCATATATTTATTTTTATATAAACGTTAATTTAGGGTAATTGTCTTTAATGATCTACAAGACACCACTAAAACCAGCACTTTCCAACACGGTCTGTGGATCACTGAAACCTCTACCTTCAGGAGACAAATGCACAGACTTCCCTAGCTGAGAAAATAGCTCTTCTGCTAAATTGCCATAATCAATATTATCTTGCATACCAGATGCTCCAACTGTTCTTAGGTTTTTAACCATACGCTTTTTCAATTCCATAAAACCTTCAGCTAAACAATGTTCTTGAGCAAACCTTAGGATACCTAATATCTCGTCTTTTTTTTTGTTGTCTCCACGGCCATCATTGCGTTTCCAATCTACAATCAACATTGCAAGTGCTGGTTTCATAGCAGCAAAGGCAAGTATATCTTTCAAAGGATCAATGGCATTTTTTTGTGTTCAGAAAAGCAGCTGCATTTCCAAAGATCCATGATAACTACTCTTGCCTTAGCTTGGATACCTGTATCAGGATGTCCTAACATCAATTTTGAAAGTGAGAAAAGGAGAGATGCATAGTCTCTATTTGAGAGAATTTTCTCTTCCTCAGGTAATGAAACTTTTTCCTCAGACCAATATTTTACTACATCTTGAACTACATCAACAAAACCACACTGTACTAATGCGCTAAGAGTTCGATACATAACTCCTTTGTCTGGTAGCTCAAGTAATAATTTATACTTTGCTGAATCAGTGATTATTTCACGTATAAGAAAATCTAAAACAGTAGCGACATTATGGTTAGCCTTAACAGCAGACAAGTTAGCAATAGCGTCAACTATTAGGTTATCGATCTTTTTCTTTTATTCTTGACTCATACGGCGATAGAAGTATTCCACTCCTTCACTCCACTTAAATTCTACAGCTTTATTAAAACCCTCTGCTGCATCATCATGTTTTTCAAACCCTCCAGTTTTTTTATCAATCCAGAAAGTAAACACAGGGTCTACACTTTTCATAGCATCCAATAATTCATTTCTGACGTATTTGCGGTTGTTAGTTGCAGGCTTGCCATCATCATCTACTTCTTCGGAAGAGAAGCCACTTTTGTAAGACTCAAGTTGTTTCTGAAAAAGTTGAGGAATCTTATCTGTCACACAATACCTGCATGCCATATTATATCTACAAAGTGGATTATTTATTTCTCTTATTTTGTCTTCAGTCAATTTCTGACCTAAAACAGCATTATTTAGTCTTATACCCGACCAATAATTCTCGTCTTGGAAAACCTTATACAAAAACTGCAGCTCATCGTCTTTGAGATACTCTACCTGCTCTATATAAGTCTTTACCCATTTTTCAACAGACAAGCGCCTACCAGCAGTGATATTAGAGTCTTTATGTTGAATAGAATCTTGCAATTTTTTAAGTACTACAGCACGATGCTCTTTCTCTTGGCACTTTACCCCCTATATAAAAATATTTACTGCATTATGCCAAAGGTAGAATCAAATAGCAACACTAAAATTATCAAGGATAAGAAAATTTTATGAAAAACATTTTTTATATTTAAATATCATCTATTTTGCGATTAACTGATGCATAGAGTTAGTGAGAAAATCAAAAAGGCCATAGTGAGAATAGCAGAAGAGTTAGATGTAGGCTTTAGTATTAGACTAATGGATAAAGAAGTATAATAAGTTGAAAAGAGCTCTAAGAGAGTTACAGTACTTAGGCTTTTTTCTTAAGTTTTGAAATTTCAGCTTTAGGAAGACCGGTAGACTCAGCTATTAAATCAACAGATACACCTGCTTTAAGTAGGTTTTTTGCCACTTCAATTTCCCTTTCTTTTCTGCCTTCTTCATGGCCGATTTAGATGCCTTCTTGTCTACCTTCTTGTCTACCTTCTTGTTTAGCATCATCGAGTTTTTGTTCTAAGATAGCAGCTTCTTTCTGTAAATCCATGACCCTTTCTTCATAAGCTACAAGATCTTTTAATAACAAATGCGTATCTATTTAAAAATACAAAATATAAAAGTCGTTTTCTTCCGTAATACAAATAATTTAAGTATCTTATTTGGATGAATAATACGGATTTGTTGCTAATAATATGTCTTTTATACCTATTTGGCTTTTACCAAAATTTTAATAGGAGAGGTTTTATACTAGTGTGATTAAAGAAAAATAAGCAATATGTAAGTTAAAAAAAATAATTATTTTCTGATAATTTTTTATGTCGAACATAAAGACTAGGGCGGCGCACATCGGTCCAATTTGATTTTGAGGATAATCAAAACCAAATGAATTACATCAAAACAAATAACACAAATCAAACAACTATTTAGCTATGTTTAGTAAAGTTCTCAACTAATTAATCATTATAGAGCAATGTTATTTAGCTATTTTTGAAAACTTTCTCATTTTATTTAATTTATGGGCTACAATGTTCAACCAATTTATAAGCAAATTTTTCATAAAGATAACACTGCATATAACCTTGATCAGATATTTTGTCAGAATTATTCATCAGGAGAATTGGAATAACTATTAATTTGATTTATTTATTGTAGAATTGCTTTTATAAACTGAATTCACATTTTTATTTCTATTTTCCATTGTTTACGCCTTTTCCAAGGCAAAGGTTCAGTTGGTCCTTCTTAACCCAACCACATGAAAGCTTTTATAAAGGTTATATAAAAATATATGTTGAATATAACTTCAAAATAACAATATGGACATCGTATAAAACAATTAAATAACGCAAACTTAAAGATTACATTAAGGCCTCGCAATCTAAACAACAGTGCGCAAAACCATAAAGACAACCGAAAAAAATACTTTTGCTATGGATTTTCAAGCATGTTCGTTTATTTCTTGACAGAGACGTTGCTTGATTTAAAGCAATGGATTGTTAAATTTCATTTTCCTTCTACTTTCAAATATTGTTAAAAAAATCCTGACTTCACTTGTTTTTGAGATATTGGTGATGGATCTATTTACTTTTAATCCCCGTTCTACCATAATTCAATTTTTCTAAATCTCAGAAATATACGAACAGAGTAATTCATTTAGTTCTATATATACTTATAGTATACAATGGAAGGAGTAGGAAAAACTGGAATTAAAATGTTAGAATTGGTTACAATTTATTGAATTATTATTAAACTTAGAATTAGATCATATTTAATAAATTTTTATAAGATCTGATTTAAATTCCTTTTGTGTCATCATATCGTGATATCAAACAATAAATCACTCATGGGTTGACAAAACATTAAAAACTTAATTGTAGAAGTAGAACTTTAGATATTTAGAAACTGGATATAGTCAAGAGTAAGAGTATGGTATAACCATTACCATTTTTGGTTATTGAAAGCATATAATAATTTTGTGATAATTTAGCAATCAAGAGTACTAAAATAGAAAAAAATGGACGCGAACTCAAATTATTACAAACCAATTTCTTTGTGATAAAGGTTCAAAGCGAAGATCGCATAGTATCCCCAATTACGAATCCAAACTTGGTTTTTATAAGGGATAACGCACATAACACATTTTGCTTTTGGAAATAAAGTACAATTCGATATGGGACCGAGACTTCGTTAAATTCGAGACAAAGTGTAAAATATGTAAAATAAAGTTCCCAACTGGAGACGTAGTTCAATAGGGCGCCGTTTATAAGTGGGTTTAGAGAAGGCCCATAGAGAATGTATAAAAGGGGCTTGGTGTCTTCCGCTATTCGTTGTACATACAGATTGTCAAAAGCTCTAGCAATAAACTTCAATATAGACACACACACTTACAGGCGTACGTGCCCTTAGAACGATTTCGAATCATTTCAAGAATGAAATACTTTTACGGGACCATGACCTATATATCATTTCTTTACTGAATTCCCATTCGATACCTAAATGGTACATGAGTTCAATTCTGCGATACAGAAGATATGAAAAAAAAAAACTAATTTTTAATCGACGTGATCAAAATTTATAGTATATATTTATATATATATTTATAAAATTTATAGTATATATTTATATATATAGTATAAAATATATATATATTTTTTTGTTCCACTGAATGACGGTTTCAACAAAGACCGAAACGTATAGTTAAATAAAGCTCACTACTATTGTTTGTTTTTTTTACCTGATGTTACTACCCGAATCAATATACCTCATCATATATATATATATATATATATATATATATATATATATATATATATATATGGAAGCGTGGTCCATATTAAATACCAAAATGATAGACAATGATAAATTTCATAAAATATTATTTATATTTCGTTTATTTTATATATGATTAATATCCACGACACTATGTGTTGTCATACTGATCATTAATAAAACGTTATTGGTATTTTCTTATTTATAATAGAAAAGAAAGGTTTCAAGAATTATACATTTTAGGCAAATTCGACTAGGGAGAAACAAAAACCGTGTCCGATCTGACACTTGAATTTCCTTTTGTTTTTCTCAGTGCTGTCACTATATGGGCCAATCTGTCCAGAGACATGTGATGCGTGTTGACAAGCCGCTATGCGTGTTGGCAACCCGCTACATCACTCCGCCCTAATGAAAAAGATTGTTTCGCATCTCTGACTGCCATTCTTGAACTTCCTTGTAAATTTCTTTTGGTTGAGATTGTGTGATAAATTGCCGTGTTGGCTTGTTGAGTTTGTTGAATGCTTACGTGGCCCTTCGCTGGTGAGTTAGCGGTTGAGTAGATGTGGCCCTTCGCTGGTGAGTTAGCGGCTGAGTATATTTGACACTTCGCTGGTGAGTTAGCGGTTGAGTGTATGTGGCCCTTCGCTGGTGAGTTAGCGGTTGAGTGTATGTGGCCCTTCGTTGGTGAGTTAGCGGTTGATTGTATGTGGCCCTTCGCTGGTGAGTTAGCGGTTGATTGTATGTGGCCCTTTTGAATGGCGGTTGCCGATGTTTGTTGGTGCTCCCTGTCCTCTGCCGTGGTGCTTATTATCGACTTATTTACCATGATAATAAGTGATTTATTGAGCACGTGTTGTTGTTGATCTTGAAGTGCGTGGTCGGAGTCTCAGTTGTATGCTTAGAATGCTCTTCGAATTATGGAAGTTGTGAGCCATTCATAATAATTATTTATATTTTTAAAAATTCTTTTCTTAATAATTCTTGAGACTTCAATTTATTTTTTTTTCTTGTGCTACTTCAAAATATGTCTTGATCTTCTTACCTTCTTGTATGTGTGTTGCTAGTTCACTCTCGGGGTCACCAAAATATGGAAGCGTGGTCCATATTAAATACCAAAATGATAGACAATGATAAATTTCATAAAATATTATTTATATTTCGTTTATTTTATATATGATTAATATCCACGACACTATGTGTTGTCATACTGATCATTAATAAAACGTTATTGGTATTTTCTTATTTATAATAGAAAAGAAAGGTTTCAAGAATTATACATTTTAGGCAAATTCGACTAGGGAGAAACAAAAACCGTGTCCGATCTGACACTTGAATTTCCTTTTGTTTTTCTCAGTGCTGTCACTATATGGGCCAATCTGTCCAGAGACATGTGATGCGTGTTGACAAGCCGCTATGCGTGTTGGCAACCCGCTACATATATATATATATATATATATATATATATATATATATATATATATATATATCAACATCAAATTCACTAGATATAGTACTCACATAAACAATTTATTCGGATAAATCATCACAAAATATTATAAAATGATGGACATGATATTGACTTATTAGGTGAACTGGATCTTATACAGTTTTTGCCCACTTTAGCCAATATTTTAGTTAATTTTGTTAATTAGGCAAAATTTACAATCTCATTCATTGATACATTCATTCATTAATACGTATAATATTTATAATGGTGGATCAAAAATAAATGCTATTTTTGTTGGTACATAATAAAAATATTGGAAAGTATTATGGTAATGATATTATGGAAAAATTACTGAGTACTAAATTATAATAATATGAGTAGTCTTATAATTAAGGGAAAAAAACAAAAATATAATTAATACTATAAGAATACAAAAAAGTAATATTCTGCGAAAATAAAAATAATATCAGATCTTGATTCGATTTACTGTCAAATTACTGTACTGTACAAAAAGCCATCTCTTTTCAATTTTAATCCAAAAATTTTAAATTATATAATGATTCTTAAACGGTTTTCTTCAAGTTTCATATAAAATGAGTAACACTGAAAGTTATAATGTACTTAGGACTATGTCTTCAATAAAGAAATCTAAATAAATAATTATACTACATATTCGGAATGGAAATAGTTCGAACCTCGCTCTGAACGACCTGACATCGTGCAGTAGCGATGTTGAAATTTACTTAAGATTATAGATGAAAAATATATTTTCATTCGAAAATAGCTCATTGCTATCATTGCTGTGATGGCAATAGTAAATTTCTCTCACACTATGAGACACTATGGTGAGTAGAATTTAACCCACCTCACGCCTGCTGTAGGGTAGTGCTACTACTACCTATATATATATATATATATATATATATATATATATATATATATATATTTCATTTAATTTTTGGTATACAAAAAACACCAACTATTCCTTGCAATGCTTGACACAGTACTAAAGAAACATATAACACTTACAGAAATATTCTAAACAAATTTGAAGTACTTATATAGATGGAGACAGAGAGGGTATCATTATAATGTAAACAAAAGGAGTGCTATCGCATACAAATCGATAAAAATGAAAAAACAAATTAATTTATTGAAAAGAATAAGATAAATGAAAAAATTTATAAATTATTAATGATGTTTATATAAGTATCATGTAAAATATTTGTGTCGGTTCTTAGATTTATGCTATTGTTAGTCCGAACTATTAACATTGATTCTGCCATGCTCCGTTTAAATAAGTCTTTCTCATGGAATAAAATTTGGGGATTGTCAAAATCAAACTTATGGTTGTTGATATTAGCATGATCCACAAGTGTAC